CAAGAAATGACTGAGCACCTGTATCCCTACTTCATCCCTTATTAGGAACTTTTGTAATACTCGACTGTACGACTGTTCATTGATTCCCGGGCCATCTCAAAAAAAAAAGAAGCTTCCTGCACCAGTCCCGCCTATTTCCATCCATGGACCCTTTGGCCGTCCTTCCTGAAGTCTTTCTCGAAGCTGTGCCATTTGGCCGACTCATTAAGGTCTGGATACCTTAGTTGATTGCGATTCTCTATGACCACCGAAAGACTATCTCCGAGATCAGGCGTCCTTAACATTATTCTCCCAGTCTTGTACATATGGCAGAAAGTTGGGGCCGAACTAGAAACAAGTGGGTGCTCCCAAGTACTCCCCTTTTATTCATTAACCCATTCCTTTCTTAGCATGAGGATGTAATTCACTCACCCCGGCATATATCCACAATCGTAGATGTCTGAATGGATATTCTCTGGGCTAGTCTCCATCCGGATGTTTCCTAAATGAACTAACTGATTGAAAGAAAATCGTACAGTTCAGACTGTTGCTGACAGTAGCTTATAAAGGAAAATAAAGTAGAGAGAGCTTCCAAAGTCGGAGGGTAACTGCTAAAGAGCTTACATAGCCAATCTTATTATAGAACGCAAACCTTGAAAGCAAACTGGGCTTGTTTTTCTTCCATTTCTTTCCTTGAAAATTGTATGGTAGCGTTCACACGGTAGACTGAAACATCGATTTCACTTTCGAATTGAAGCTTCACATATCGAGAGGATGCAAGCAGGTATTGTTCCTGGTTGTTGCCCGTTGTTATTTTACCTACATAGTCATTTCCTTAACTGTTTCACCCCCCAATGCCAGCCGAGGCTTGCTGCCCGTCACTCCGGAAAAGCTCGAATTATCGCTGAGGAAATTTCATGTGAAATAGTCACCCAAACGTTCCAATACTCATAACGTACGCTGTTTTTGTCATTCCGAATAAGATTAATCGTCAAATCATAAACCTAAAACTCGCCTTTGATATTGTCCGGAATTTTGACTGCGCTGCTGTCTCTATCAGCCTGAGGTGCGATCAGAGCAAGGGTGACATCGTGACCCGCTCCAGCAAGTGCTTCAGCCACTCGGACGTTGTACAACAACTGTAGTGGGAATGAGTCAAGTCCTTCCTCATTGTATCTTTACTCAGTTATACATATGTGAGGGATCTCTTCCCTAATCGCGAGTGAGGGATATGTTTCAGTCCAAGGTGAACTAACGGAGACAGATAGATAATATCTAATATTGGTTTAATCGTACCAACTAGCCATCTGTCTGTCCATAGGAGTTCGACCAACCATACTCTACTCCTTCCCTGGCGGAGGGCTGAGGAAGTGGATGAGAAGTACTACTTTTCAACTGGGTAATGTACTGTTACCCTATACTAACTGGGTAATGGTGTGTCAGATAGCTTTAAAATCAGCAGAAATCATCCAGTAAATACATACCTGACTATTTGATAAATCCATTACAAATATAACCATTTTGAAGGAGTTCACCGAGCAAAAGCATAGTGACAAGATGTAGAACGATAACGTTAACATCTGAAAAAAAAATTCCGGCTCAAAGGGGCAGTTCACGCAGCGCTCGAAATGATCGCGAGAGGTGGCTCTCTCTCTTACAACAGGATTTTTAGGTCACTCACTTCACAAAAGGTTTCAGTCTGTTCGAGTGATCGTGCCCTTTCCCCTTATTGAGCTCGGATAAACAAAAACGTTCCCGCAGTGACAATTTCTTATTGGTAAGCTCCGCCTCCTCGAGAAACTATCGGGTTGTATCCACCAATAGAAAAGCCCCAGTGAGCAGAGTGCGCTCTAAAAGAAAATCCTAATGTAACGACATTTAGGAACCATTTTTTTTGCCATAGCTCAAAAAGCCAAGATAAGATAGACTGAATCTAAATAAAACTTCGAAAAGTTTCCAATGTTCGAGAGCCCCAAATTTCAGAAGTGTTCATTCAAAAGTGTGCATTACATTCACGACAAACGTGCTCCAATTCAAATGATATCTGCCTCTACAAGACTGCAAAACACGTCCTCCCCTTCTTGATAGTGTTCAGTGGCGTTGAGTTTCAGAAGCGTTTCTCTAACCCTGATTGCGCCTTATCAAGGCCGTTTTTCGAGCTGAGAAAGCCCAGTGTAGTTTTTCATGTGATTATAGATTTGTACTGGTGAGAAATCTCCGACGCCGTTTTACTGTCTTTAAGTTCTTCTTCAATTTGCGGCAGTTTACAGAAAGCCTAGAATTGACTTACAGAAAGCCTAGAATTGACGAAATGGCAAGAATCTATGAGAAAGAAAGAATAACAAACCAGCCTACTAATTCTAATAATGATGATTTTTAATTGCAATCACATCCACATCCATTTTCAATGCTGGATACAATGGTCAAAAAGAAATATTATAAAAAACCGCAAAGTAGTTTTCGATTTATTAAAAGATAGTCATTTTTTAGTAACTTCCGCATAAATTACTACAAAGTTACATTATTAGTTTAATGACTTCATCAAAAATTTTCAGGAATGAAACAAGAACGCATGAGGAACAGATAGGGAATCAGAATTTATCTTGTTATACGGTAATGGAAGAGTCGTGAACGTATTTATAATAAAAATTCTGAGGAATTCGTGCCCATTTTCGAAAACGACTTATCTGAATGGAAAAATTTTGTTTCGAAACTGATACTACCAGCCCTTATCTATAAACGCAGGCAGGCACATATCACGAAAACGAGTGTCATCTAACAGATACGGCCTAGTGGAATTCACCGAGTACTCACTACTGTTAACAGCTCTCCCGCAGCTAACAGAGAATTTAAAGACCAGCTGAACTACTGTACAAATTATTGATTATTGATTGATTAGAATCAAGTTTCTTGATTTTTTCTCTCCCATTGAAATTCTCTGAGTAGACGCTTTCAAAAGGTACAGCAGTAGCGAATCGAAAAGTCATGATCAAGGCACTTCTGAAGGTGCCCATTCATTTTCCAATTTGAACTCATTTATGAACAGTATGCGCCTTCTGCTGAAGAAGATCATATCCCGAACCAACACCCCTTGTGTGAAGTAACTCTTTCACTTCTCCGAGGTCGACCAAGTGGTAGAAAAATTTGTACATTGAAAAATAAACGCACTGATCTCTCCATTAGGTGGTCCCTGCGAATTGTCGTCCTAATCCTAGTAAGTTTCCAGAGTGCTCCTTCTATTGAAAAACTCTTCGATCACCACAAAAAAGCCTTGAATTTTGACCTTTCTCTCCCAGGTGATCCATGAGAAATGAACCGGTTTGCATCCAAACTTCCGCTCAAGTCGTGGGGTCTGGAGGTGGGACCCCAAAGGAGTCTCATGGATGGTGATCTGAATAATTCTAGCAACCACTCGCAATCCTTTGTTCCACATTTTTCATTGAGAAGTAGTCAGCGATCAATCGACTAAATGGGATAGGTTATTCGGGTACATCCTGAAAACCATTGCCCCCAGCATGACCGGAACAAGTGGAAAAGTTCTGCTTCTCAGTCATGTGCTGGGGTTCACAGTAAACTGAATTGAGTTTGAAGCATTTTAGGCGATTACAAGTACCGATAACTTTTATTATTACTTATTACTTACTGCACTACTGAAAAGCACGACACTTTCTTTGAAAAGAGTAAAGCGACAGTGTTACATTTGTTTTTCTTTCGTAGCTCGAAATAATAAAGCGTATAATTTCAATAAAATAAATTTCAACAGTTTCCATAAAACAAAAAGGACTACGGTCAAAATGGTTAACAAAAATACAATAACGTCAAGTGAATGGTACTGAATAAAATTGAGTTTTGTACCAGCAGGCACAAGGTTTTCTAAAGTCTTAAATTCAGCCACGAATTCCGCCCATGCCACGAGAAGATGATCCGGGCTCACAGGCTTCCTCTTCACCATTTCCGACAACCGTTTAACGTTTTTTGAGTAACTGAAAGGATACAAATTCAGTAGTTATAGTTCTGAGGTGATTGGAAAGAAGTCAACAATGTAGCAGCCCTACTACGCGTAGGTTGACTCTCAGCCCGACTTGAATCAGTCGTAGCTTAGTCAGTGGAAATAGGGCTAAAGGAAGGGGAACAGAGAGCTGGTGCAGACGATAGCTCTAAATAGATGCAGTTGATTTTCTGTATGGCTACTGGGTCCAAATTAGATCTTCAAAAGAGCCCTGGGTCCAGCTCAAGCTAGATTAGCACCTTGTGGTAAGAACCTCAGTTGATCATTCAATAGGAATCTCTCCGTGGGTTCCTACTCTGGGTCAGTTCTCCTGCCAGCTCTATCACCATGTGCTCTAGGGCAAAGTGCACTCTTAAGTTCGAACACGCACCTCTTATCGGTCATAAGTCGTTGTAATGCTTCGGCTACGGTGTCAGCACTAAGATCGCCTTTTCTTATGTTGATAGCAAAGCGATGCCTTTCTGCCAGCTTGGCGTTTCGAGGCTGATCCCCAAACAGAGCTACCGTTATCAGTGGAACGCCGGCTGTGATGACTTCCTATAAGGATGAGATATTTTTTTTGGTTTATGATTTAGGCGAGAATTTGGTTGAAGTATACCTGCAGGCTGTTATAGCCTCCATGTGATATGAAGGCCACTGTCTTGGGATGCCTGAGAAGGTCAGCTTGAGGTAACCATTTGAATAAATATACGTTTTTCGGGAGCTGATCTGAACAGTAATCAAACAATAAACTGAAGAGCATTCCTCACCGAATTTTTTTGGAGTCTATGGAACAATTTCAAGGATTTTGTGAAGATTTTGCTTTTACTGAAGCTTCAGAGGCGGATCTTGTTGAGACTTTGAAGCATGACGTCCAGAGTAGCCGTGTGAGGAGACGACGTGCCATTTCGGCTTCGATCACAACGGCTCACCTTCATCGTTCTATGAGATGATCCCTCCTTCAGTAAAGTATCAGTAAACAAAAGCGAGATAAAATGATGATCAATGGAACACCAAATCAAAACAAAATCGAAAAATACGATTTAAGGCAAAATCGAACTGACCATTCAAGTCGGTTCCTTCATATCTGAGCACGAAGTTGAGTTTTGGAAAGCGAGAAAATGCCTCCAAAAATGCTTTTTTCCATTCAGCTGGCATTCGATGACTTGGAGTCACTGAGCCGAACGAAAATACCACAAGACCTTCACAATTGTCAACAACTTCTTGGAATTCCTGAATGTTATTACATATTGACGAGGTAAAATCGCAAATATATGTAGAATGCCCATGTAAATGAATGGTAAGTATCCTCAGCATAACCCTTGTACCATGCTCGAGTACAGGTACCACCCTTTACTAGCGGGTAGCAACGTCTATCTCCTCTAATTTTTTCCTTAAAAATTGAAGTTACCTTAATTACTACTGTTTTTTCATGAGAAATATTTTGAATCACTAGTGTAATTTTCCCTCTTCCTACTTCCTCTTTCTACTTCTTTCCATACACTGTTTTGTTTACCCACAGGGAGTCATATGGTCAGGAATTCAACAAACTTCGAGAAGGGTTGTAGACCAATAAATGATTTTTTGAGTCTTCAAGCGACGTTGAGGCAGGTAGGCAACCCTTCTGGCCAAGTTACTGCAATCCCCGGTTTTGTCAGAATGCGATGAAGTGGGTACCCTCAAGGGTATTTGGAAAATGAAAACACAGTTAATGAAACAATGTGAAATATCCTTCATCGGTAGACATACCTTGCTCAGTGGCTTGGCATCTTTCATCTGGATGCCCACACCTCCAATATTGATAACTTTGGCGAGACTTGGCCGAGTTAACTCGTACAGTTCGTTCGAGTTCACCATCACCTAGAATGCAGTCGCACCCTAAATTGATAGTAGTTTTTACATACCGTGAATCACTACCAATGGGCACATCTTGGCAATGTCGACGATGTCAGGAAAGTTCGGATCGACAAGTTCGCGGAAGATTTCCGTTTCTGGGTCAGAGATCATTCTACAAAAAATATAAAATAGTTTTTCTGTCAGAGAAAAGTTTTTAATTTCGATGTCATAGCCAAGGGTAGCAGCTGGCGCTGGCGCAAAATCAGGGGCGAATTAGGGGTGTGGTGCGTAGGAACGAAATTGTCGCGTTGCGGCGCAAGAGACACGTGCGCAAAGGCATGTAGCAGAATGCAGCAGCAAGTACGGAAAGCAGAACAAAAGAAGTAAGAGTAGAATCATGCCATAAGCAATTATCGCCTAATGATTAAGCTGTATTAAGAACGCTAGAACTGTTGCAAGGAGGCAAATGGTCCGCGGCAGCCGCATGCGGCGGATCGATTACCCAAAATCGGTGCCTGTCTCCAACGAATCAGCCGCGGGCGGCTGGCGGCGCAGCTGAGGGCCAGAAGCTATAAACGTTCCATTCTTACGTCTTCATACATGTGATAGATTATGAAGGCAGTTGTCTATACCATAGGTGGCAGGCGGCGCCACATACTGTCGAAAAAATACTTATCGAAGGAAACGATCGAACATACTTCTTCCAAATACTAGGCGTGATCGAGTGTCCAATGAAACTTTTCATTCTCTGCACGAAATCCATTTCATCAGTGCTTTCCATAATAAGGGCTGTAAAAGAACATTGGATGACCTTAATAGCAACTGGCACAACACAATCGCAATGATCATATAAATATTTTCAATTGCATTGAATTGGCAGACCAAATACAGAAGCATCATGTCTTTATGAACCCCCTAAATCGAACCCAAATAAAATAAAAAATAACACAAATTCGCATTTATACTTTTTTAAAATCACTTCACGTCAGAGGTTGAAATGGATCCTGCGTTGGCGTTGAATCGATGCAACATTTATTTCTGCTTTCAGAGTAGAAAAAGTTGGGAAAATTCTGACTTACATTAAAATAAAATTTCAAAATTAACTCACGTGGAACATAGCTGGGTACTGTGGGTACACCCAGATGATAGGCGACAAAATCCATCAAACCGCCGCTGGAACGGTGCATTTTACCATTAATAAGTTTTGTTTACGTTTATTGTGAGTTATTTATGTATTTACTCGTATTTAGGTGAAATATACCTGTTCAGCCATATCCATGAAGGGATTTTGGCATAGTGGATCAGCCCTATATGGCAGACATCGTAAATATGAGAAAATGCGAGATCGAACTTCTGGGCGACCAACCAATCAAGAAACTCTTTGTTTTCAACCATCTCTAAATACTGGTCGATTCACACAGATAACTTGCTTAGTTGGTTTTTGGCTGGTTGGCCCGGGCGAGTATCGATCCAGGATTTGGTCTATGATAGTGTGTTCGATAAAAAGATACTGATCATTATAGTTAAGTGAAAGCCCAATATTCAGAAGCACTTACTACGGCACATTTTGGTGAGAAGTATAGACATCCTGCTTATTTGATTCCGAAGTCTCGAATCCCACATGGGCAAATCCTTAAAAATAGCATTGCAAAGTGTTCCACCGTTGGAAAGGCAGTGATTGTGCTTGATCACATGCTGTGACTGTCCTCCCATCGCATTCCAAATTTTCTTTGTAAAATTTCCATTTGCCCTGCCACCGTTTTTCGAATAACCGTACCTGCTGTTTCCATGTGGGGCTATCCACCTAGCAATCCTTTACCCAGGGACGGCAGCTGAGAACTTTGACAAATAAATTGTGTTCACCGTAACCATCGCCTGCTCCTAACATGTTTAGAAGGATGCAACAATCCTCCCAAATGGGTGTTGGGACAACTAGCCAACGAAAGTACGGTCGGAAGTTGAAATAAACATCTTTTTACCAGCGATATGTCATTGAAATGGCCTGGTGGCAATTCAGATAGGAAACCACAACTCTTTTATTCCAAATCATGGGGTCATAACTCGCCGAGTGGCCGATACCGTACCTCTACCATTCACAAACAGGCGTCTGGATATCTGTCATGGCCAATAAAATAATGAGTCCATATACCGTAATGATGTAGAATAAATCACTTGGGAACATTACCTTGAATATGACTTTTTGCTGTAACTCTTCGAGTTCTTTTCTTTTCATACCGAATGAGGCATTGACTCGATGAACTGAAAATGATAAATTTAACAAATATCTACCATTATTTTAAAATTGAAAACTTCAAGATCCAAGTGGATCGATACAAGCTACACCATCACTTCCAGAACTTCGATCAATAGAGAGGTTCAACGTACCATGAATATCTTTCATGATTTTTACATCACTTGAATCTCTGTCATCATATCCCGAAAACATCACCATCGTGACATCGTGACCGGCCTTTGTCAATGTCTCTGCTACTCGAGTATTGAAAATTACCTAAGTAAACGGTACATTACATAAATAAAGCAGTAAGGAAGCAACCATTCGATCAAAATTACCTGGCTATTTACAATGTCCGGAACAAAAAGAACCATTTTAAAGGCAGTACTCCATGGTGGTACAAGAAATATCAAAAGAAGAAGACCAAAATACGACATTTCCTAGGTAGCAATTTGATTGACCGGTATGGTTAGAAAATCAATGAACAATCAGATTGATAGTGGGCGATAACTGATAGGCTGCTCTGTCCCAGTACGGTTTGAACGGACATTGATATGACAAATATTTTGGTTTGAGTTTCAATCAGATCAATTTAGCAGAGAGTTTTAGAACCTTCTGTAGATGGCATAATTGAGTTTTGAGCAATTAAATTCCGAAAACGCCTCACGATTAGACTATGATTATAGTAATTCACTGGAAGAGATCTTCGATCATTCTTAGGATGATAACTGAGAGGACTTCTATTGAAGGTGAAGGTTAGATTCAGTTTTTCCTAATTGCTTAACGAGAGATTCGTTAGAAACAAATCGAATATGCAAAAAGGTCACTGCCATCCCCCCTACCAAGGGAGAAATTCGTTTACGCGGAAGTAAGCCTCTATTTGACCTCATCCCCATCTAATTGATGAATTATTTACTACCGAATATCAAGTTCTCCAAACAGCCGAACATCTCTGCCCAGTGCCATACTCCAAAAAACGATTGTATAGGCCATGTGTTCATTAATATGCCTCTAAAGGGCAACTGTTTGTGTGGGTCCTTCATGAAATGCTCATTTTGAGAAATAGTTTCATCAACTTTTTTTCTGGAAGAAGAAGAATTGAAGAATTTCGTTTCAATTCATCTAAAAGACCCGATTTTTCGAGCTATTTTGTTTGGCTGGGGCCTTTATAAATGCGCTTCTAAAAATAGGAATCCTGAACGAAGTGAACGCTTCCGTCAGAGTGGACTCAGCAAGACAATAAAGGAATGAAAAAAGGTTTGGTAATATAAGATTTGCAGACGTGTTGTAAAGGTGAACCTGCAGTGGACTTAGCCTAGAGAAAGACTTCTCAACAAGTTGTACAGAGCAAACACACCAGTAAAAAAACATCACAGGAATGCCTACAAAAGAAGAAGCTTGGAAGTTATTTTGGAGAAATACCAGGCAATAAATCTCTGTGAAGATAAGAAGGGTGAGAACGTAAGCTGAGTTTCTTGGTGCCTCCGCGTTCACCCAAGGATCCGCAAAGATCAAAAATCTTAGAAACGGTGTGGAGGTGCACAGTGAGAGAACTTGAAAGTCAAACAAATAGAGCGAGGTAGTTCCACGTGAAAGTTAAGCAGAGAGCTACATAGACAGAGGGAGGGACGAATGAAACGTTCATTCTGGAGCCAACCAATTTGTCAGGCGGACTGTTAGAGCTACTATCTCATTGTAGAATGTTCTGAACGTCTATCTGCCAAGTATTCGCTATCGTAGGTCGAAAGCAAAGTATGTTTTGAAGTTATAAAAAGGTTCTCCAACAACTTTCTTCACAAAGTCGTAACGGACCGAATTTCGGAACAGGACGAATCCGTCCATCGACGCTTTTTCCACGAAATAGTAATCTTACAGATGATATCAGCAATCTATGAAGAAATCGTGTTTCTGCATTTTGTTCGAAATGTGATCATATTNACGCTATAGTCATCTGATGGAGTGGAACGTACAGTACGACCCCTTCCCTTTAGCTTTCGATCAAGCAATGTTACAGTTCGAAGGTAAACCCTCCTACAAACACCTTCAACTGACTCAAATCAAATCGAAACAACGGTGGAGTAAGTGCGGTTATGTATGCTCCTTGATCCTGAAGGGGAGATCCGGAGTTTTATGAAATTCCTCTATCCCAAGGGCACGAAGAGACGATCCTAGATGTCCCCTACACAAATGCATTACAAATTTATTATAATATTTATTTCGATTCAAATAGGAAATCAAAGCATTTCGTATTCATCGTGATAGATGGTGTAGCCATCACCATCGCGGCGCCATATTTGTAAAAATCGTCCGTTCAGTACACCGCCCTAAAAAATCAGAATTCCTCTGTTTGCTTCTTTTTCGATGTAACACCTTGACCCTCAAGCAAAAACAACTTCATGCAAGTCAGTATTTGAGCTAAGCACGTCTCTGTAAACGGTGCTCAGCTGTCACAGAGCGCTTCGGTTTTCATTCACTTTTTTTTCTCTATCAAGTTTTTTTTNTTTTTTTTCACTTGAATACGGACTTTAGGACCTAAGCTGTTTTTGTTTGTAAATACGTACCTTTTCAGTGTGGAAAGCGAAGTCGGTGTAGATGTGGGGGAATTCTGCAACTCCGTCGTATTTGGTGTTGGATAACTGAAAAAGCAATCAGATGGTTTATGCAAAGGACACTTGTTGAGCTTTCAGGTGTCAAAAACATGACCAATATAGTGAAATCTAGTATTTCTGGTGGATTAGGATCAGTATGGACCGGCTTCTCTGGAGTCGGAAACTTTCGGCACTAAGTTCGCCCAATGCCATGAAAGCTGGTCGAAAATGAGTTCAATTTTTAGAAAGATCCTGAAGGGAGGGCTATAAAAAAGGGTACTGAGGCATAATTTCAAAATTTCAAAGTCAGGAAGATTGCCTAGTCTTTGTTCAGAGCGCAAACTTTCTGTGAGTTAGAATCGGCTGAGTATGTTAATCACGGCCCTTGCTATCCAATAAAGGTAGTGATCATCGAGTAGGTCCCTTCGTGGCTCCACTTTCAGCCGTGTGTAAGGGGTTCATGTGAGGGAAAATTCAAATACCTCTATCCTCGTTTTTCCTAGATCCGTTGCCATCTGAAGAAGTGAAGCCACAATATCTGAAAAGGTTTCGATCAGACAGTTCTCTCAGAGTTTGTTGCTCATGAAGCTCTAAAACTGGATAACGTAAGGGGTTCATTTCAAAGAGAATGCCGATTATAGGGCGGAGGGCAGGGGAATCGCTCGGAAGTTTGCCATTACCTGTACTTTTGTGAGTCTGAGCTGTAGCGTGCTACTTGTTTCAACAGTCGGTTGTATAGGTCAATGGATGTAGGGAGGCTTGAAAATTTGAGATTGAATTCAGGCGCATGGCGCACGCGAAAGCAGTGCTTGTATTAGATACCAAGGGGTTGAAGTGTGGAAGCATCCCTTTTATTGCGCATAAAATGTTTAAATTCCTCTTACTTCACATCCAACTCCGTGGCTTAGGCTTCGACCTGATTGTGAGGAAAAAAATTCCAATTATTGAGAATACCTTTCTTTCCCCACAAGACGCTCTTGTCTTTTTCGACCATAACCGAATTTTTATGATAGAAGTCCTCCATTCGATCAAATTCACCGGCATTAAATGTCCGGACATAGTCGAGAACGAAAGGCTCAAGAACACGGCGAATTTCTGAAGAGAATTGAGCTATGAGAACGAAATCTCCAAAGTTTATAGGACAGAAAAAAAAGGAAAAAATGTACTCACGATCAGCTGCCATCTCGAGTCCAACTACGTGAAAAGGATGAGGCTTTTAGTGACAACAGCTGATGTTTGTATAAAGCAGTTGCTACGTAGACTAGAGGTCACTGCAGCTCTTGGGTTCCAATGATAAGGAAAACGGGTCTCTCCCCGTAATCTCTGTTTGAAAACAGAAACATTTCCATGAGTAAATTCATATTTACACTCGAAGAATTGAAATTTCTAATTTTTTTTTCTAAATTTCGTCTTACAGAAGCTATTTTCCATCAGAAACACTTCGTTTCCCTTCTATATCAGAGCATTTTCCACTCAAATTTCACGGTTTCCCTGAGTTTCTCATCATTACATTTTCTTGACATAAAATCCTTCTCCTTCGCCAACTCTTTTCTCTGAAAGTTTTTTTTGAAACTTTCTGAATTTTTTCCATCTATAATGTTCGCCTTGACTTCCGGAAGGACCAGAGGCGCCACAATGCTACAAAGAGGATAGCGTTAAAATTTTATAGCAACATATTTCAAATGGGAAAGCATCCAAACAGTTTTGAAAACAAAACGTTCCACGAAGAATTCAAAATTGCCGTTTTCCGAGCGATTTATGCTCTATAGATTCTATCCATTCTATCCGGAAGGCTGGGATTCAATGGATTGAGAATATCGGGAGCTGAATGCTCTCTTAACTCTGACTGGTAGAATCGAGGCCGAGTATAGATTTCCGTCGATTCCCTGAAATGAACAATTCTTTTGGAAATGTTCGAGCAAGCTGGATGATGATCCAGTTGTAATATTGGGGATTCGAAAAGAATGCACGAAGTAGAAGAATTTAAAATTTGAGATAATTTCCAAAATCGAATAGAGTAAAGGAGAAAAAATATTGAGATTGCTGAGATATTTTTCCTATACCCAGGCAAGTTTCATTTCTATATGAAAAATCCAGAATTTAACAGGTAGGTATATACGACAAAGGTAGTTCCCCGGGCCAAAGTTCACGCGGATACAGCGGAACGTTAGAAAAGGATTTTGAAAAAGAAAAAGTCGAAGTTTTAAGATGATTTCGGAATAAAATACTTACATGCTTTTGAAATTCGGTAATGAATTGTAAAAGGAGTAGTTCATCTGCTGTAATTCCTCCATTGCAGTGTTAGCCCTGAATACCACCTTTGAACTTTTAATCAAATTTTGAATGTATCCTCATGAAAAAGAATTTATTATATAATTCAGCTTGTTTGAATCGTATTTTTTTTTTGAAAAAAAAATCCGGAGCATGTGCAACCTCCAGATGAAAATT